CCAAACTTTTCATTGAGTTGATTTAGACAGCTCGATATGGTTCAGGTATTGAATGATTGTACATGCGTAACATAAAAACTGTTTGTTGTTATTTACCAAGTGATTACCCGCCAGAATCCAGCTGGTGATCACCTCTTTCTCAGCTGGTGAATTTCACCAGCAGCTAGTGCTTCAGCTTAGCGACAACCCTGATTATATTAGAATGCACATCAAGTGAAGCTAAAATTGTTCTGTCACTTCAGCAGAGTGTTCACTTTATGCCCCAAAGTCCCTGAATTTGATTCCTTACTTTCATGTAACTCTAGCATTTTTGTTTAACATTATTTGAATGGCACTTGAAATATTGAATCTAAATCCTTGAAAAGCCCTGAAATGTTCAAAAGACAGATGTCCATCCAGTAAATTTTTACAGGGCTCCTGTCTTGGGCTTTTGTCAAGGTAGTGAAATTAAAGTAGCCTCAAACTTGTGAAACCTGTATTCAATGATTTCCATTCAAACAAACAAATGAAGAACTTCTACGTCCATCTACTTATTAAGACTGTTAATGCATTCACATTAAGAAACTTGGGGAAGTTATATGTATCTTGAAATAATGCAGTGTTTTATAAGTTCTGTGTTATTTTTAGCTTTTTTCTTGTTTAGTTTTTATAGAGCTCAGGGCCGGGTTGTTCAAGGCCTAATTAAACTAACCCAGGATTAGCGAGAAAATTTGATGTCAGTTTTTAACTTTTTGGTGAGGTTTTCTGTTTATATTGTTTGTTTGTCAGTTTTGAGTTTGAATAATCTCAAACTACACAAAACATAAGCAGTGAAAAACACTTGTGTAAAAGAAAAATGAATACTTCAGTTAACTTTTAAACCTGGGTTAGCATTAACCGGCTTTCAAACAACCCAGCCCTGATGAAGGAAACAAAATATTTCTTTGTACAGGCAGTTGAAAGTGAAAATTACTCTTGAAGGGGTGGCCAGTGGCCATTAAACCATATGCAAAATCTGAGAATTCTTGTTAATTAGTTTTAAAGTCTGGCTTACCTGTGTTTCTAATAGGCCATTTCTGAGTTATCTTTTTCCTGTGTGTCAAATTGAGTCTAGTGCAAAATCATTCATATGAAAATGTGTTCCGCCTACAGGTTCATTTTCATGCAAATCAAACTCATTTTCATCTGAAAAGTTTTGCACAAGGACTTATTTTGAAACAGAGGCACAAGGTAAACTCAGATATGGCCTATTCTGTCTCAGAATCTGAAATTTTTTTAAAGTAAGTCACAGTCTCAGATCTTAGCATCTGGGTGAGTTGTGGATTTTACCATTTGTCACCCTTAAACATGTAATGAGATGAGTGCAGTTTTTCTTAGTATTGTCCATTTAAGTTATGTACAGTGTCATTGTCGATGTGGAGCTTTATTTGAATAAAGAAAAAAACCTTTTTGAAAATAATCTTTGAAATAATGAGACAATTGTTGGACTAGTTTACTGTCACACTGGTTTGCTTGCAGTTATCTTTCACTCTGGTGATCTGCTTGTGGGTAGCTCTCATTTGTTGGTTAGGGCATTGTTACATATCTCTTTTATGCTAACACTATGATTGTGTAGTTTAAAATAACTGCTTCTGGCTGTTGACCTATTCCTAATGCAGTGGTGACTAAACTTTTGTGTGATGCTGTCGTCCCAGGTTCAACTCTCAGACGTGTCAGTTCTGTTGTCATAATGATTCTTTTTTCTTTCCATATTGGGAGGCGCAAGGGCCTCATGGTTAGTGCGCTCATCTCTGGATCGAGTGGTCTGGGTTTAGCCCTGGCTGGGGACATCGTGTTGTGTCCATGGGCAAGACACTAAACTCTTGCAGTGCCTCTCTCCACCCAGGTGTATAAATGGGTACCAGTGAACTAATGCAGGGGTTAGCCCTGCGATGGACTAGCATCCCATCCAGGCGGAAGTAGAAATACTCCTAGTTGCTTCATGCTACAGAAACAAGGATAAGCTCCGGCCTGATAGGCTACTTGGCTTGTATACAGACTTTACCTTTTACCGTTTGTTCTCTGCATAATTTAAATAGATGTAGTGCCAAAATCACTTACAAATTTAAAATAATTACTTGGGCTTCCATAGGAAAGCCAGAGTCATAAAATGCACGCAGTTTTGTCTTGGTTGCCAAAAGGGGGATCATGGTCCCAGGTGCTCCTAGCATCCCAGGCGTCCCAGGCATTCCAAGCTTGGAAAGTCACTTGAAGCATGAGAATCCAACAGCTTGCTTCATTGTCTGCCCACAAGTTTTGGAAAGAATCATGCCTTACACTGAACGAAACAACTTGAATAGTAATTATCTAAGCCTAACTGTTGTGTTAAAATTTCCTGATTCTTTTATTCGTTTTGTGTTCAATAAGCTTAGTTGTAAAGTATGATTTGATATTGCACAACAAAGCCCGAGCATGAAACACTCTTTAGAGCATTTAGTTGCTATTAGCCTAAAGAGGAACGTGGTTCTGGTGGATGAAATCCATTGCTGAC